GCCTGCTTGGTCAACCTGGGTTGAGTTGGTCAACCAGGTTGACCCAGGGTCTGGGTTTGGGCTCAACAGATTTGAAATGACATTTCAGGACTAATGAAAGTGGTTTCAAAGCCTAGAGAGGCCATTGGGTCAAAACACCTATTTGGACCCTTAAAGGGCCATTTGGGTCAACTGTGTTGACTTGGTCAACCAGGTTGACCCAAAGCCTAGAAATGGGCCCAACATGTTTGGTTTAAAATTTGAGAATTTCTAGAAGTGGTTGTACTCAATTTGGAGGTCGTTTGGTTTGAAATCCCTATTTGAGCCCCTCATAGGGGTATTCTGGTCATTCTTGGGCTCATGGTTACTAGGGGCTGAAATGAGTCCAGAAAAATACAGTTTATTTATCAACATATCAGGATTAATGGTATGGAATTGATTATAGGCTTTGGTGAAGGCTCTAGGGTCAGAATCTTCAAGGTGGCAGGTCCAGTGGCATATGCTGTAAATATTTAAAGGTTTTACAGCCTTTGGATTTTGATTTAGATTCTGGGGTTAGAGACCTCAGAATAGGCCCAAATTTTAAGGGTAGCCTCTAAAGACATGTCCCATCAGTATGCAACTAACAGACCCTGAATCAGAGGTCATTTGACCGGGTTTCAAAGTATTTGAAAAATTAATGAAAAAGGCCTTCAGGACCAAGCCTTCGAACCTTGGATTTGAGTTTGGATTTTTTGGAATTGAAATGGATTATGGGTTTGAATGACTGGATTTGAATTATCCATATCATTTGTGATCATTTGGCATGATCATGAGTGGTAGGATAAGGTTGAAGTTGGACAGGTGCAGGATTAGAGTTTTAACTGAAGTTTGGGTTTTAAACTGAACTGAAGTCTGGTTTTGATTGAGACTCAAAATTGAGTTGAGATCTGGCATGGATTGAGGTCAGGATTGTTTTGATATTTGAATTGATTGAAGCTTGGATTGATTTAAGACTTGAATTGATCAGAGGGCTGGATTGGTCCTAGGGTCTAGAGGGACTCTAAGATCTAGAATCTAGAAGGATCCTAGGATTTGGAATCTAGAATGGTTCTAGGATTTGGAATCTAGAGTATGGATGAATCCTAAGCTCTAGAGCAGATCCTAGGGTCTAGATTAATCTAGAGTCTGGAAGAGTCTCAATGACCTCATACAAACATGAGGTCAACAACCGCCGGTGAATTTTTTCATACGCCAATTTTTTCGGAGGTTTATGAACCGCCGACAAGCCGCTGGTATAACTGAAAACCGCCAGTGTAACCTTCTAAACCGCCAGAAAAAACTGCCGGTATTGGCTATTTTTCTTGTAGTGACTATGCATGTTGGTTAAGCTGAGGTGTGCCCTTTCTATCCTTTTGAGTAGGAACTTCCATAGTCTCTCTTTTTGTGCCAGTCCCTTTTTTTGAGAAGAATAATATCGGATCCTTAATCGAGAGTATTCTCAAGCTCCGACCTGAGATGTAATTAACCAGGGGGCTTGCGTCCATGGGAAATGGAATTCCACAATAAATAAACCCCACTTGAGTTGATGTATCAGGTGGAGAAAATCCAGTGACATTGATCAAGTCATGTATATTATCACCCATCGGAGTGCACTAGCGATAGCTTCTATCCTCAATGGTTGATTGTATGTAGGATATAATCTGCCCTCCCATTGGCCTGCTTATGAAGAGCGCAAAGGTCTGCGATTGTCTCTATCCCTCGGGGTGGTGTGGTCATATACCCTATGTACTCGGTAGCTGAGCAGTGTCCTTTCAGAGGTCCACAGGGCTTGATAATGGTTGAATGTTAATAATGCAATGGCATTATAGTTGTAACTTATAAGGATCATATTTTCTCAGTGAAGAAACATAACTATTCATGAAGTAACTAATCCATATTAACAAGCACCACGAAAGTGAAAAATTTTTAGTGTCGAGGCATTAATTCATTTCAAGGGCACTTATGTGCCACTCTTTCAAGCATTCTAGCACCATAGACTATTTTGTATTGTCTTATAAATAGTTGTGATGTTATGTTTGTGAGAGAGTTTAATCACTTGTGTTAAATTTAATACTTCTTTTTAGTACTTCTCTAGTTCCTTCTTAGAGTAAAATCTAAGGAGGCTAGGAAACTACAAGATATAATTAATTGGAGTGTTTTAGCTTGTGTTTCTTAAATTAACTCTATAAGTAAATGGGGGAAGGAGTGCAAAAATTTCACTTCATTGTTCTTACTAGACATAGTCAAAATAGGTATAACTGCATCCTACTTTGCTAGGCATTACACTTGGTTTGTCTCCATTCAACATTATTTGAATTATATTGTTAGTGGGTCATATTGGGATGAGTTGTAACATAAATTCGGTAAACATATCTAAGCAAAGACTCCAAAAAATGAGACATAATTGTTGATATATTTTGCTTCAAGAAGTTTATTTATTTTTTGAGAAAAATAATATAGTTGTTTTGGATATGAATGATACTTTTATGATGTGAGGAAGGTCAAGGAGAAACACTCAAGCAATCATAAATAAATATTATTATCAAATTGAACTATTTTACACAGTGATATATATTCAACTTCATGAGCTCAAAAATAGATATGATGAAATAAAAGTATATTTACTTACAGTGGCGGAGCCAGAAATTATGTTCAGGGGGGGCCTAAATTAAAATAGTTATATTTGTCGTCTCATTCAGAAGGTTATAATAAATTAAAATAGTTCCATTTATTGTCTCATTATCAAAGCCAAGAGGAGCTGTATGATCAAAATTAAGAATGAAAATAACATGATCCTTAGAGCTTAAAAGACATAAACATCTACCACGGACGACCTTCGTTTGGGGGCGATAAAGGAGCGAAAGGAAAAATGAAAGTCGTGCTCGAGGTCATGACTCGTGAGTTGCGAGATGAGAGTAAAGGGGAAAACAAACCATTGTTTTTTTTTCATGTGTCCACAAAAAAATATTGATGGCTTCTTTGGATTAATAAACAACTTTAATTATGTAAGTGGAGAGAGGAACTGAATATACTATGGATTTGGTTGGGTGTGCTGTCATGAGTGCGCGGTCACAGCATTTCTGTTGCGCAAAAAGAGCAAGGAAAAACAAAACCCTTCACAGTAATTAATTAGATAAATAGCACTGCAAAAAATAATTAGATAGTTGGATGGTAATTTAATATTTAATAATTATTATTCGATAATCAATAGTTAATTAATGATAAAATTTTTAATAAAATTATATTTAAATAATTAAATGTTTTAAATAATAACTAATTAAATAAACCTGCATCCAACTCTAAGTCAACATATGTTTTCATCATTTCAGTCCACAATGAAAACTCATTCCTCTCTCTCTCTCAATATTTTACACCATTTGTCTCTCCCTCTACAGCAGCTGAAGCATTGCATGGCCCAGGTAAAAGATGGATTGAAGGCTTGAAATGGAAAAAGCATTAATGAATAAAATGAAAGCTAACAAGAGGTTTATCATTTTTTGGGGGGGGGGGGCACGTGCCCCCCCTCCCTCCGCCCATGTTTACTTATGTGTGTAACATGCCTGAATCCATGTGATTCATTTTTAGCTTTTGATAAGGAACATTTAATTCATGTAATTATTCTACGATGAAGCTTCTTGATGATAATCTCTATATTCCAACCATTTTTTTATTCATGATTAATTATTTAGGTTTGAAATGCACTCATTACAACATGAAGGACACAGTAAAGGAAAACCTATGTTTAAAATAAGAATATGATATGAAATTATTATAGTTCTTAAACTTGTTCGCATACTAAAATATAAACCCTAAAATGCAATAAAGATCATATTAATTTCTAGAATAAAAAAATAAATAATAAAAATCTAGAAGCATGTTCCAACCACGTTTAATTGAACCACGTTCAAACTTTATTCAAACTACAATCAAACCATGTCCGAACCTAGCTTGAACATGGTTCAAATATGTTTAAACCATACTATTTTGTTTATTCTCTCAATACTTTATGTAGTTGATTCATGTTAATTGATTTATTATGTAAGTAGCAAAGCCCTACGTGAGATCCTTGTTGGGTACCCATGCTTTACTCGGACGGGCTTCGCCCGCCCACACCCACCCTTGATGACTTCTGAGATTCCGTACCCACCTATACCCACCCTTTTCATGCTTTTTGAACGCAGTCTATCACGGACTGATGGTCTTGAGGCTTGTTGCCCTTTGTTCTAATTGCAAACTTTCAAGACATATGTCAGAATTTGAGTGTTATAATATGTTGTTATAGCTTATTCAAAGCCTATTAGAACTTTTTTTTAAAAAGTTTGAACAAGTTCTAATGGAGTTCAAATATTGTTCGGATTTAGATCAAAACTTATTCGGTTAAGAACCTCATGCATAAACCTTTTAGAATTTCATAGAAAGATTAGACCATCATAATATGAATCCTATTTTCATAAAAGAATCTCATTCAAACTATATTCGAGCATGGTTCGAATTCGTTTTGCTAGGATTTTAACTTTCTATGCACATAAACATACTCATATAGATAGACTGAAATTAGAGGAGTTTAATGTAAAAGCTATAAAAGATATTTTTGAAGATAACAAAAAATTAATTGAAAGTATGTCTCTATTGAAAAAGGTTTGTATTGAAGTTTTTACAACAAAGTTATGAACATTCAAAGGAATAAAGATGTTATTCAGAAGATGATGATCACAATCATAAACAAGTATTTGTGCAACTATTTTTAAAAATTATCCCTCATATTGCTATCTCAAAATAATTTCATTTAAAGATATTTTTTAGATATATTTCTTTAAAAATAAATAAATAATTATATATATTATGATACATATAAAATAAAATTTTCAAATTATAATATCTAATCCTTCAAAGGAACTTTTTTTTTTTTTACTGTTCAGCTTGAAATTTAACCAGTTCGCAGATTCAACGGTCAAGATGCGGTCTAGCAGGGCATCGCCGCCGCTTCTAGAACTCGAAAAGCACTGAACATCAAATGGCCAAAATCTGATAGCATATTATCTTCCCTAAAAAATCGAGAAAATCGAATCTGTCTTCTTCCTCCTTTGCTGAATTTCAAATTCTCCAAATTAGCCTCTTGCAATCTCTGGAGCTCCGCTAGTTCGTTTCTAAACCTGCAAAAATGGAGATTTTGAGCTTATTTTTCGGCGGAATTTAGCCTGTGGTGGAACAATACATGGCAGTCTTAGTGGCGCCCTCTTCTATCTTCTCCTGTTCTTCGGCCCCCCGCTCCGGTGCTTTTCTTTATGGAAATTTGAAGGCAAATATTTTCATCTTACTTTCTGATTCTTTTATTGCTAGCCCCGAGTTCTTTGATTAAAAGAAGCTAAAGTAAAGAAAATGCTAACATGCTTTGTCTTTTTTATTTAACTTCAGTTAATGTTAATATGCTGAGTTGAAGATTAATTTTGTTTATTTGTTTTAACTCTGCAGTTTTAGGGTCTTGCTAATTCCTTGCAGGAAACTCTATGCGAGTAGAATTTTTTTTTTTTTGAGACTTTTGAGGGAATTAAGCCAAACTCACACACATAAGTGAGCTTTTAACCCAAAACCTCGTGATTGGTAGTCAAAACTCCCAACCAACACATGAAGTGAGCTGCGTAATTTTAGGAGCTGTGAAATGATGGTTTGTCCTTGGATTGAGTCGTTGAAGTCTTGCATTTAGGGTTTTTATTTTTTTGTGTATTTGATGGGTTTAGTGTTATATAGAATCTTAGTTTTAAACCTTCATTCTAGTATATATGTCTGTAAAATACTAAAATGTTAAGAGCATTTTGGTAGCTGAAAGAATCATGTAATTATGTATGACATATACATGTTTCATTGAGCTTTTCTAATGCATTCAAGATCAATTCCAACCCTTTTACTCTCTGAAAAAGATAAATATGTCATATCCCTTCCCAGTAGTTTTCCTTCTTGCTAATAAAGGGAAATAAGTTTCAACTTTATTGAAAAAAATCATCGTAATTGGATGCTCCTCCAGTGAGGTGTAGATATCTTTCCCACTTTTGCAATTCTCAATTGTGAGTTTGTGTAGGCCTTGATGAGCTTCTAGGTCATGAAGTTACAAGCATGAGCCCGTATGAGAAATAATCCTCATTGTTCCCACAAATCGGATATTGGAAAGCCTATGGCCATAGGACTCAGGTGAGCATTGTGATTTGTGTGGACTTGTGGAAAGCACACATAGCCATGACTTGGTTGCCAGATTGTTCTCAAGCTCGCCAATACATGATTGTGGCCCTTATCTCTCTCTCTCTCTCTCTCTCTCTCTCTCTCTTGCTCGCTCGCTCTCGCTCGCTCTCTTCAAACTGACATTTTTCGAGCTATATAAATTTAAGGACCACTCCTAGTATATCGATACCAACAGGGCCCAATTAGGTAAAGGATAGAATTTATGTTTCACAAATTACTGTCCTTTATTATAAAGGAAGCAGTTACAACAACAACATCAAGCCTTTATCCCACTATGTGGAGCCGACTATATGAATTTTTTTTCTTCATTGTGTCCTGTTAAGAGTCCAATACTCATTTAAATCTAATAAAAAATGTCATTTTTAATCTTTTCTTACCAAGTCTTTTTAGCTCTACCCCTACCTTTTTTAACATAGGCCAAATCTAATATATCTACTCTCCCCAATAGGATCATCAGAAGGCTACTATTTTACATGACCAATCCATCTAAGGCGACACTCTCTTATCTTATTTGTCATTGAAGCTACTCCAACCTTTTCATGGATATGCTTGTTTTGTATCATGTCTTTAAGAGTAAATCCACTCATCCACCTGAGCATCCTCATCTCAGCAACGCTTAACTTAATATTATGCTTCTCTTTTAATGTCTGATATTCTGCGCTATAAAGCATTACAAGTCTCACCACCATCTTATAAATTTTTTTCTTAAGTTTGAGTGGTACTTTTCTATCACACAACAGACCCGAAGCATTCCTCTGCTTCAACCATCCAACTTAAATTCTACTAATAATATCCCCATCTATAAAGGAAACAATTGAATAAGGAATATTGAGGAAAGTAGAACAAGATCTGCGAAGCTTGGGGTAGGACTAAATAATGGAAAGTATCAATGTAGCTATAGTCTGAGAGTTTGTGAGTTCACTTGGTCAACCGGAATCTTTACTCTGGACCAAGTGACTACGATGAAAATCGAACTAGCCAAGACTGATAAAGTTCAAAGCAGTGGAAAGCCTAGAATGGAAGAAATTGTATTTTTGATAGGTTTTTCGTATGATTGAAGTGTTGCTCTTCTTTTTATAAGAAAATTCTGGTTGGCTGTTGCACAAAATGGGAATTTTTTTTTTGTAAAGCTTTTCCTTTTTTCATGGACAAAGAAAAAAAATGTAAAACTTGTGTACACCATCAACCTTAACAAAAAACTGGAAAAAGAAAGAAGTTGGGTGAGATGAATTAGTACAAATTTGGTCATAGGAAAACATTTGATTATTCCTAGTTTTAATAGCAGGTACGAGTTCATTGTTTTGTAGCTATATTTGTATTCTAACTAAATAGGAAATATCCATGTCAATTATAGTTTACTGGTGTAATTTCCTGGTTAGTTTTTCAGTATTACTCTTCAACTTCTTTCTTTTTATGTTTTTGTTGCATTGAGTTTCATTGTGCTACAATAGTAGTCCAATTAATTAACGTGGGGTTATCATTATCTCACATATATAATAAAACATAAATTTGTTGACCTTATTTTCCAGTTAACTCATTGGCAAGGTGTAGAAGGCTGTAAAAATGGGAAACAAGAGTTAAATTGCTTCAAGGGTATCTTTCTAAATTTGAGTACTTTTGACGAGCTTGGAGATTATGTCTTTAGCACTGCTCATTACTTTCTCATTGATTTTAGTTGGAAACTTATTTCCAATTGTACAAGGAAACTCAAAATCAAAATTAGGGTTTTTGGCAAGAGGCCTGACTTGCTCTGCTATTTCTGAGGATCAGTCTACTTATACTACACTGAAGCTGGACACTGTGGATCCAGAAGAACTGGATATCATTACTGAGGATTCATCTACAGAAAGCAGCTTATCACTCCCTGTTGAAAGAACTACTGGAAAACCAGGATTTATTTCATTCCATGGCCTTCCATATGAAAGGAGAGGAGAAATTCCTGGATCTAGCCTGGGCAAGGAAAAGTCCAGGATCTTTTGGTTTATTGGACCAACGGTGCTGGTGGCTTTCCTGGTTCTCCCATCACTTTACCTACGGAGGATAATTTCTGCTTTTTTTGAGGATTCACTGTTAACAGGTTGATGCTTCATCAGTTTTTTGGTTGTTAGAACTAGTCCTGTTCAGCTACCTATTCATTTCTATTGATGTCAAGAAGAAAATAGTTAAACAAATATTTCATTTTTTTTTCCAATTTGCTTTTAATTTTTTATCAAGTGCATTTTGTTCACTGGCGAGATTAGATCACTGAAGGTTTTGAATTATGGTATGGTATGCGATAATGCAACTATTGTCATCATCATCATTAGACTCTTAGCATGTTAATAGGCAAATGTTCTTTATAAAATATCATACCAAAGTAGATGTTATTTCCTGTTCAGTTCTCTTCTAATATTAGTTTAAGCTGCTAGCTGTTACTTCTTGTTCTTTAAATCCCTCGTCTCCTACTATTTCTATGCCCCTTCCCTTTTTCTGTGTCTTTTTATGCAGCCAGCAACATGGGTCACAGGTCTCTCAAATATTGGATTAATTTGAGATTCTTCCTATACCATTTCATTTCAGTAATGATTGACTTTATAGTATTTTCTATGCTTTTCTCAAGTAAGGTGAATGAATATCTTCAACGCAGTATGATTAGATGCTGCAACCAAACTTTCTACAGGAATGCTTGCTCTCTAGCCCTATGCATATCTTCCATTAAACTTGATATGTCATTGCCCACGTGGTAGTTGATACGCATCTTAAATTTATTCCAATCTAACACAATTTTTGGAGTTATAAATTCGTTGAAGCCTACTACAGTATATATGGTTTGTTGAACAAATATAAGGCAATTGAAGCCTAATACAGTCTACAGTATCATTGGTATGTAGATCAACTATTCAAATTGTCTGGAATGATGTTGTATTAACTTATACTGGCTTATGTTGGTGTAAAGCAATTTATATTTCCCTAATTGATCTATGACAACATTAGATATAATGTATCTAAAGGAAAATGCCTTTTTTTTCCGCCCACCAAACCTACAAGTCTTTTGTCATCATCTATGATGCATAGAAACGGACACGACGACATGGACACCAGACGACACAGTTGTGGGACACGTCAATTATTGAAAATATACGACACAGACACAGGTTGGATACAATATTATAATATTTTATATTTTAAAAAGTGTATTAAAATTGAATAAATATAATATTTAAAATAAATTAAAAATAATAAGTCATTTAAGTAGAATTTGTTCTTAAAATGATTAATATTAGTATGTTGAGAGTCGGGCGTCGATGCCATGTTCTAGGCATCGAGCGAGGAGACAACAATGCTATCGAGAGTCGGGCATTAATTATGCAGTATGGGTTGTCGATGTCAAGAGGGCGTCTGTCGTTGATGTTGAGATGACATTGGTCGTTGATGTTAATATGATGTTGGAAATATGAGGTGTCAATTTGTGGGTGTAGAATTGCTAGCGTCGATCATAAATGTCAAGATAATGTCAGACTTTGATGTTGAGATGGTTTTGAAATATTGATATTGTAACGACCTTAGACGTTAATGTTGAGATGATATTGAGCATTGTTGTGAAACCAAAGTCGCAACTCGCCAAACAGAAATAAAAATGAGAATATTCAATAAATGAAATATTGAATGCAGGTGATTGATTTGGTGTTGTGGATAGAAAATAAAAAAAATTATTTTTTATATTTTAACAACAACAACATCAAGTTTTTATATTTTAAATAAATAAAAATTTAAATACAATAAATTATATTTAAAAATAAAATTTCATAAAATTTATAAGGCACACGTGTCTGATTTGTATTTAAATTTTTTTAATTGGACATATTTTTGGCGTGTCTGACACGTTCCATAGGCGTGTCAGACACGTTTCGTTTCGGATATGTGTCAGAACTGTACGCCTATTTGAGGAGAATTATCGGTGCACCATAGGTCATCATCATCATAAGCTTTAATGATAGCAATTTGGGGTTGGCTTTATGAAATTTCCTTTATTATTCCTTCTTATTGAGTGTTATGTAAATAACTCTAATTAACACAAACCTTTTGTTGTATTTCTAACAATGTCGCCTTGGGTGCATTCCTTTTCCTACATAAACCTTCCATTTTATTTTACCTATCCTTATACTATTATTTACACATGTCAAACGTGCCACATACTATTGTCCCTCTACTTTAATCATTTCTCAATATGTCATTGTTTGTTTATATATTACCCGCATCTATCTAAACATTCTTATTTTTTCACATTTAATTTCTAACAATGTCATTTTGGATGCATTCCTTTTTCCTACATAATCCTTCCATTTTACTTTACCTATTTTTCTTCTATTATTTTTACATGTCAAACGTGCCACATACTATTGTCCATCTACTTTAATCATTTATCAATATGTCATTTGCTTGTTTATATATTACACTAATCTATCTAAACATTCTTATTTTTTTCACATTTAATTTAGTTATCAGGGGCTTCTTTATTGATCAATGCTTAGATCCATTTTGAATTACACAGGCAAAACAACCACCATATTTACAAAAAAATAAAAAATTATATAAGAAAAAACTCAAAACAAAATATTATTGTATTACAATTGTTAAAATTGAGAAGGAATGAGGGTAAATAGGCAAAACATCCAAAATCTATGATTATGAGAAAAAGAGTCAACAATAAAAGCCCTTAGAAATTGATGCAAGTAGAATATATGGGATTTGGAGATGAGTAGAAATCGGAGCAAATTGGTACATGGGATTTGGAGATGAGCAGAAATCGGAGCTAATTGGTATCAATTGTTCGAAATTCTTCTCTCCTCCACTGCATTTTACTAATAGTACATCACCATCAAAAAAATATTTGATATATGAATACAAAATTATTAAAAAGCTTAAGAAAATGATACGTTACTTGCCCTTAGAAATATTTGATTTCCACCTCATGTAAAAATTAGCAACATAGTTATACTTACACCATAATGTATTAAGTTGTATTACTAACATGTAAAGCTGATGAAAGAAGATAACAAAATTAACAAAGAAGACGATAACTTTTGTTCCTAGTTTACTATAGTAAAATGCAACCATATATAAGGAGCATGTGATAGCACAAAATAAACAATAAATTTCGTCAAATGGTGGTAAGAGGATGAAATGGTTACATCTGAATGGTTGTGATGAAAAGAAATTACTGCTTGTGATAGTGACAGAGTATAATAATGCCATCAACAACAACAACAACATCAAGCCTTTATCCCACTACGTGGGGTCGGCTACATGAATCCTTTTTCTCCATTGTGTCCTATTAAAAGTCAAATTCTCATTTAAATCTAATAAAGAAAGGTCATTCCTAATATTTTCTAACCAAGTCTTTTTAGGTCTACCCCTACCTTTCTTAACATAAGTCAAATCTAATACCTCTACTCTCCTAACCGGGTCATCGCAAGGCCGCCGTTTTATATGACCAAACCATCTAAGGCGACTTTCTCTAATCTTATCTTCTACTGGAGCTACTCCAACCTTTTCACGTATATGCTCATTTCGTATCATATCTCTAAGGGTAAAGCCACTCATCCACCTGAGCATCCTCATCTCTACCACACTTAACTTAGTATTATGCTTCTCTTTTAAAGGCCAACATTCGGCACCATAAAGCATTGCAGGCCTCACTACCATCTTATAGAATTTTCCCTTAAGTTTGAGGGGTACATTTCTATCACATAACAAGCCCGATGCATTCCTCCACTTCAACCATCCAACTTGAATTCTGCTGATAATATCCCCATCTATTTCACCATCACTCTGAACAATAGATCCAAGATATCTAAAACGTGTACTCTTATTAATGACTTGATCGCCCAAAGTCACAATCCCCTCACTAGGTCTATTACTACTAAAATTACACTCCATATATTCCGTTTTAGATCTACTCAAGCGAAAACCTTTAGACTCTAAGGTTGACCTCCATAATTCAAGTTTACCTTCAACTCCCTCTCTAGTCTTATCAACAAGAAGAATATCATCAGCAAAAAACATACACCAAGGTACATCCTCTTGCAAATGTCTAGTGAGAACATCCAAGACTAAAGCAAAAAGATATGGGCTTAAGGCTGATCCTTGATGTAACCCAACCGAAATAGGAAAATACTTGGTCAATCCACATTGTGTTTGAACACAAGTAATAGCTCCTGCATACATATCTTTAATGATTTGAATATAAGCATTATTGACTCCTTTCTTTTCAAGAACTCTACATAGCACTTCTCCAGATTTAAAAAATCTCGTCTCAAGTGGGAGTGAATAAGGTGGAATACATGCATAGGGTCAAAGAGGAACTAAAGCTCCCACAAACAAAAGATCCAATCAAATAACTAGGATAAGGATCAAGCATAGTACCTTGTCATCGGACTCTGACGCGGACATCGGTGCAGCGATGAGGATGACAATAGCAAGGCCGGCGGTGAGGAGATTGGGAGATCTCAGGCGGATGACCATGGCATTCGTAGATCTAAGAGGAAAAATACGATTAGATTCAGCTCCAGCTTGGCGGAGCAGGCGGACCAAAGCGAAGTCGTCGAGTTGCATTGCAGGCGGAACGGGCGAGGGAGAGGAAAAAAATTTTAGGGCCTGCGAGCGATTCATTATATTAGCGGGTGGGAGACCAAGCGGGCTTTTCAGTTTTAGAGGTGGCTAAAGCACATGAAAAAAATCTCAGTTGGGGCAAAAAAAAAAGAAGAAGCACGGGGCGAAGTATCAACTAACATTTATTATAGTGAAAGCTTCAGCTATACAGGGTTCTGTCCTTGATGCACACTAAAGAAATTCTTATTGTAATATATCATATGCTTCTCAATAAAATTCATATGAACATCTTTTCCTTGCTTGCTATTCTTCTTCTTGTTTGACTTAGTAAAACAATAACGTTGATACCATGAGGCCAATATTATTTTTCAAGTTTATATGCAAAAGCCTTCTTGCCTATATTTGTTATGTGGCTTGTAAGTTTTAACTTGTGCTTGTTTTATAACCTCAGTTAGTATTAAGACCTACTCATCTCCTTTTTGTTTTCAAGTACGTATTCTCTTTCCATCTCATTTTTCATGCTAACTGTAATATTGCTTCCTCAGATGGGATATGCTGACATTCATGTGGTTGAGATTTGCTGTATTGAATATCAAATTATTCTTTTGCAGATTTTCTCATCTTATTTTTCACTGAGGCTCTTTTCTATGGAGGAGTCGCAATATTTGTTTTACTCATAGATTATGTCTGGAGACCTCTCAAAATGGTCGATGCTAAGAATAACAATTGGTCAAAGATCCAGTTTGGGCTTCGAATTTCTTCAGTCACAACGTTAGCACTGAGCCTGATCATTCCCCTCGTGACCATGGGGATGGTTTGGCCATGGACTGGGCCAGCTGCCTCTGCTACTCTTGCACCGTATCTTGTGGGTCTTGTTGTACAATTTGCTTTTGAGCAATATGCTCGACATCACAAGTCACCTGCTTGGCCAGTCATTCCTATTATCTTTCAGGTGCTTTATTTATTTTTTTATTATGATTTTACATGTTGAATTTTTTTGGTACTTTATAATAGAAGCTCATATGTTTTTCGTTTCTTAAATTCTTTGGTCATTAGAACTGTGGATTATTATTTGATAAGATCGTCCGCATGTTATGCCAATATGTGAATGGCAATTTTGTGCTGTGTTATAGGATTAAGGACATGTCATATGACATAAATAGCTAAGCAGTTCCTTTTAAGTGCTTTTCCATTGATATGCATTTTTAGTTTTTGAAAGTGAATTGCTTATGTTAGAACTTGGACCTACAGAGCTTATGAAAAAGTTTAAATTGGATGAGGAGCTGCTACATGTCATCCGATACAAACTACATGCATGACTTGAGTTTTATGATCTTTCGATCATAGTATTTTTTCTTTTACTATTGATGTAACATCTTCTAAACATGTATGAAATTTGTTGCAAGTCTCGGGAGTTATGATATGATACAACAAAAATAACATCAAACATTTATCCCACTATGTGGGGTCAGCTAGATGAATCCTTTTTCTCCATTGTGTCTTGTTAAGTGTCAAATTCTTATTTCAATCTAATAAAGAAAGGTAATTTCTTTTTTTAAATGAGGTATTAGCAATTACAAAATTATTAGTTAAAGAAAAATTTAACATGGTCTTACCACATTCATTAGTCACTCTAAACTCATATCCACCATGGATGCTTTGAAAATCATCTATTTCTCTACAAGCACATCCATTTAAATATCTTCCAATAAAAACATTTTATTTTAGAGGTATTTTTTGTATTAATTCTTCTAAGTCATTCCAAAATTTTAATTTTAAACACATGCAAACCTATTTGAAGCGTATAAACACTTATAATATTAAAAATCTTAGCATCAACAACAATTTTTAAAGTCATAATTCTCTCCGATTCTATTAATTTTAACAATATTATCCTTCAAACTTTTGTCTTTAATCACATCTGCACTATTTCTAGTACGACTCTATCCTTCAAACTTTTGTCTATAATCACATATGCACTATTTCTAGTACGGCTCTTATCAGAATACTATAGTTTAAATCCTAAACTATCAATCTCCTTAGCCTTCTCTCCAACCCATTTAGTTTTCTGAATGCTTAGAATATTTATTTTCCTTTGAATCATAACTCATTTAGTTTTTTGAATGATTAGAATATTTATCTTCCTATGAATCATGATATTTATTAATTCTATTATTTTGTCCTTAAAGGAACCTATATTTCAAGTTCATATCCTTATTTTAGTTTCATGAATTAGTTTCTTTGCCCACATCCATCCATGATGTGGGAATGCTTGCCTATTTAACACTGCACCCGGGCGCCCAAAAGTTATGATATGATATATTAAAAAATATATTTGTAAATTGTTCTACTATTCTGTTGTTATGTTTGCACCATCATATTGATAGGGAATGATGGTTACACTGCATCATTTGCATTGCGTAGAGCTGTTAATGATCCAATCATGAGTCGAGCTGCCCACGACATAAGATTGGCTCAAAACCATCTGGTTCAATCTCAGTCTGAGTGAAAAAACGATAATTTGAGTATTTTTCAATTTATTGTCTAGCATCTAGATATTCTTAATCCAACTTACATACATGCATTGATTCATAAGTGAGCAAATGTAGTAATTATGATACAAACAAATACATGAATACATGTATTCATGTATGCTAATTCTGATCTTGTCTTGAGCTTGCTTAATTTGAATTTGGCCTAGTTCAACTCAGGCTCGCTATAAATCGGACTTGGCTCATCAATCAGCTATTTGATTTTGCTCCCAGCTCGATTTAAGCTAAAATCAATCTCATTTTTGAGCTATCTTCGATCTTCTAAGTCAAATTCAGAGCCCTACATTTGCCTTGCTTTCACTACAATTTGCATCTCATTGTTTTGACTTCCTTTCTTGCTTCAGGTGTATAGGCTGCATCAGTTGAATAGAGCAGCCCAGTTAGTGACAGCACTCTCCTTCTCAGTGAGAGGAACCGAGACAACGCCACAGACTCTCGCCATAAATGGCTCCCTTGGGACACTCCTAACGGTTCTCCAAATCCTTGGGGTCATCTGCATCTGGTCCCTTTCGAGTTTTCTCATGAGGTTCCTTCCCCCTTCAGTAGCCTCTCTTGATTCCAGATAACCTTCTTGATACTGAATGCTTTACTTTTAAGTTTCATAGGCAAGGAAAAGAACAGACCTTGCCTTTAAAGCTTGATAAGAAATGCAGCCATGTACTTTTGCTCATACCGTTTCGAGCTTTCAGACGCTTTAGGGCTTGTTTGGGATAGCTTTCTTGATACTTTCTAAAACAGTGTTTTATAAAACACTGTTTTAGAAAGTAATGAAAAAGCTGTCCCAAACGAAACCTATTTCAACCTTGTCAAAGAGGAGAGCTAAAACTAACATTCCAGTTTCGAATGGATTCTTAAATTGAGGAGTGGAACTAAAGAAGTTCTTACTTCTGATCTTTGAAGCTGGAATGTTATTTTAGTAATAGCAGTGAAGTTTTCTTTAGATAATGGAAATATGAGTGAAAGGAAATGAAAAAGATTTGAAATTTTTTGAAGAATTGTAATAGATACATAAATTGCTTGCATTTCATTTCAATTGTATCAGTTCATTTCAATCCAAACTGGGCCTAAAGAAATGCAATAGAGCTACTTTGAAGTTCTCTTCCAGATTTGTGTTTTTAGTGTAACATGTGGAGTTCATTTGGTTTGCAGCCTATGTTGTGAAATATTATCTGTTTTTTGTTTTTGAGGTTTTATATTGGTTGAATGTAAAATAAAACAATTTCATATGTAAATATGGACTAATTTTCATTAAAAAAATATAATTTAGCCTATAATCATTTTTTTTATTTTACAGCCCATAAAATGGTTCTGATATTGTAAATGGTTTAGAAGTTCTCTAATATGTTTACGACTTTTCATAGGAATTAGCGGTGTAAGGGATCAAAATCAGCTTGTGAGCTAGCTCAAATTTCTCGCGAATGAGCTTGTGAATTTAGCTTATTGAGCTATGAATTTGAGTTCAAGCTTAAATTCGAGCTTGGCCCAACTCAAATCAGTTGCTAATTGAGCCCACACATTAATATCATTTGACACATTGGCATTTATGTTAATCTAATTTATTATTTTTTGACCCACGTTCAAAATAAAAAATGAGTCAAGCTTTAGCTTTCTTATTGAGCTCATGCATTCGAGTCCAGCTTAAATCTCGTATTTTTCACTTGAGCTGAGCTCATGCTAAGCACATGAGCTCGATATGAAGTTTGACACAACCATTAATGAAACGAGCTTAGCTTGACCGAGAAAGAAATTGGCTCATTTACACCCCTTTTAAGAATCAATAGGAATTTAATTAGTGCAAGCAACATCATTAGGAATGCAATTGGAGTTGGAATTTGATTAGATCATTGAGATTGACTATTTAATTTCATCATGATTGGGAACATAAAAATATAAGTTACTTGATAAGGTAAATGTGATTTTATATGTTTTATAATATTCAAAAATAGAAAAAATATAACCATTGTTTAATAATTTGGAAAAATGTACTCAAAAATTGATTTTATATCAAAATAGCTTATTCAACATGATTTGAACGCATATTTGAATCTTGTTTGAATTATGTTCAAAAATGATTTGAATAAGGTTCTAACACCTGTTCAACATATTTTAAACATTATTCAAACAATGTTTAAACATGATCTGGGTCATATTCGAATATGGTTTCGACCAAGTTTGAATATTGTTCTAGCAAAGAATATTCAAACATTGTTAATTCAAATCATATTAGAACTTTGTTCGATCAGACCATGTACAAACCACATTTGAACCTCAAACGACCATTCAATGATGAAAATATATGCTAATCAACTATTTTTTAAAGGTGAATCAAGTATCAATATTATTATATTATTTGAAAGATAATGAAAAGAAGATAGCCAAATGAGTTGGGTTTTTACCATCTAATGGAACAAATATTGATGATACACAATTTCTCTTGAAGATCTCATAGTTCTTCTTTATAAAGTTGTAAAGATTAGTAATAATTATTTTAGTCTAAAATTCAGAGTGATGTATCACTTTGTTGGAGAATAATCAACAATTTCAATTTCTTCAACGATTTCCCATATATATATATATATATATGGATGATGATGATGCAAACTCAATCAATCCAACATCTTCTGTTAAGATAAGTGATGATGTTAACTTATCACATACAAAGGTAATGATGTGGACATATATACTAATGGTGGTTCAATAATAAAACATTAACTAGATGTTACAACCCACTTAGTGATCTACTTAGACCATTAAAGGGGCGAGGCATTTTGATTCTTCAAATGCCTACTTTAGATTAGTGACTAAAAGTACCTACAAATCAATGGTTGCTAATATAATTGTGTAATAACTCTTATTTGTATTAGATTAATGACATGTTTATGATCTATATTGAAAACCTTGCATTCAAATAAATATGGTTGGGAGCACTAAGGCATTGTATTGGCGAGCATAGCATCGCTAGCCTCTCTGTTTAGAGGGTTCTCGAATGGGCGACGTGGTAGCATTGAGATCTTTACCTGAAAGTGTTGTGGCATTGTAGTCTCAAATGTTGCGGTACTAGAGCACTTAATTTGTTTTTTAATATCTAAATTCATAAATCATTTTATAAAACCTAAGCCCATTCCTTTACCCCCATTCAGTTGCTTGGCAAAGAAAAGATGGAAAGGAAGGGGGAAAGAGAAGGTGGAGAGAGAAATAGGTACCTTGAATCCTAATTTTGTTTTCAATGATTTTGAATCCAAATTTTATCTCTCTCTAATATAGTTAAAATACATTATCTCTCAATCTAACAAATTTTTACAATGTTACTTTTGATATATGATAGATATCTTCATTTTGCACCTTTGATCATATTGAGATTTTATTGGATAGTTTGCCTATGTAGCATTTTGATTGAAAAAGCATATAGAAAATAAACTTAGATTGTTGCAGTTGTTCCATCAAGACTAGTAAGACAAGCAATTAGTATAATTTTCATGAGAGGACTGCACTAGTAGGAAATGTATACTAATAGCACAAACTATAGTGATATATATATATATGAAATGAAATAAAATAATATTTTATCTACATTATTTTATATATGAAAGTAATTAGTTGTAATGATAGATAATTAGAAGATTAAAAGAGGCAATTCTTCAAAATTAGATCTTGAGGGCGTCACAGAAGGCTTCATGCATGAGTTTGAATCCAAATTTTATCTCTCTCTAATATAGTTAAAATACATTATCTCTCAATCTAACAAATTTTTACAATGTTACTTTTGATATATGATAGATATCTTCATTTTGCACCTTTGATCATATTGAGATTTTATTGGATAGTTTGCCTATGTAGCATTTTGATTGAAAAAGCATATAGAAAATAAACTTAGATTGTTGCAGTTGTTCCATCAAGACTAGTAAGACAAGCAATTAGTATAATTTTCATGAGAGGACTGCACTAGTAGGAAATGTATACTAATAGCACAAACTATAGTGATATATATATATATGAAATGAAATAAAATAATATTTTATCTACATTATTTTATATATGAAAGTAATTAGTTGTACTGATAGATAATTAGAAGATTAAAAGAGGCAATTCTTCAGAATTAGATCTTGAGGGCGTCACAAAAGGCTTCATGCATGAGTTTATCCTTACTTCATTAGAAGTTTGGCTATCGTTCAAAATTCAAGATGAAAAAAACCATTTAAAGATGCAGAGTATATTCTTAGTTCTTCCTAAAAGTATTCATAGAACTTTTAGTTATAAACTTGGTAAATTTAAATACATTTGAGATAATGAGGCAGAAATCACAATTGTAAATTAAAAGTTAGTTTAAAAGTCTTCTAACAAGCTCTCTCATGGCTCAATTGAACATAAGGTCAAAGATAAACTCATCAAATTTGATCCTAGTTTGAAGACAAAGTCAATCATATTTATATGTAAAAAGGGGCTAAGATATTGATTTTTTGTATGAAAAGCCCGATTGCATTGTGACCAGGCTATTGCATATGTATGAGGGTCCCTAGAAGCATCCTTTAGATGTTGCCATCTTATTTAGTTATACAAAATAAAAAAAATCATAAGATAATTATTGGCCTTTAGCTTGGTAGTATAGAACATTTCAAGTATATTTACTTCCATTTAGGTATTTTTATTTAAGGCTTCAAAAGTTCATGTCGCCAAATATAATGTGTGGATGGAATATTTTTTTAATACACATTATATAGATGTTTTGCTTGTGGTGGCACAAGATGTTAATGCTCAAATTTTTTTAGTGTTATTTGAAGTTGTTTGCTAAAGAAATAATGAGTTATGTATGTATTTCATAACTAGATTGAAAAATTCAATAGATGTAATGAAAATTTTAATTTTTGTCTTTGCTAGACATAATAAATTTTTTGAATATTTTAACATTCATTTTTTAGAGGCACACTATAGCACTCATTATATAGTAATGAATATCATAATTATTTAAAATCAATAATTATTATGAGGAATATTACTTGGCTTCCAAGTCTTCTAGCATAGTTTAGTTCTATAGGCACTTTGATAAAATACATGCTAATAATCCAACGATAGATGCCTATCTAAAGAATAAAGCTTGATTTTGAATGGTGATCTCATGCTTTATTCATTAGAAAATGATATAAATTAATGACAATCAATATTCTAAAAAGTGTCAACAATATTATCAAGAGTGCACACACGCTCCCATCTAGTGAATATTTTGTTAAAGTTCATAAGACAAATATTACATAAATAGTTCTTCAATAGAAGAAACATTACACCAAATATAAAATTATTATAACAAAACTAATTATTAATGAAGGATTGAGAATGTTATTGAATAAGGCTCAAAGTTTGATTATCTATCATATTAGTTAATTTGAACTGCATGATCTTGATTATGATATTGTTATGTAGCAGAGGATATGTACATGCAAACAGTTTTGTGTCATAGATCTGCCATACAAGTATGTGCGTGTTGTAGCTTGGAACCAAGTCGTTAGTCATTACATCTTACGTACAAAGTTTTAAACATGAAGCATTATTAGTTATATATGTTGGGAATATATATACAATCATCAATGAGGAAACTCAAGTGGTTCCTGATAAGATAAACAAAGTTGTTGTATTAACTCCATTGGTGAAGTTGAAGAATGATCATCCAATGAAAAGAATATAAGGCATTTAAAGGAGGAGAGACATGTAATCTAACTTAGGTACAACTAATATTAGGTGAACAACTATAACCAAGTTACTTATAGGGCCAAGGGCCCCCCTACCTTCATGATTAGGATTAAATTAGTTTACTCAAATAACAAAATAGATAACTAATCTCTTTTAATAAATTTTATCAATATGTTTTAAGAAAAACATATTCAAATCATGGATTATAAAAATCCATCAATATTGATTGAGGCTTGATTTAGGATAACTTTATTACTGTTTTTTAAAACAGTTTATTTGTACAAAGATTTTTTGGATTAATAATTTTTATATTAAAAAATTATTTTGAAAAACAATAAGAAATTCATCCAAAATGAAGCAGAAATCAAATTGGTTATTTAAATTGTTTTTAAAAAATTGAATTATTTAATTATATTTTCTTAATATTTTAATTATACTTATCTAATGAAATTTTCATTGTGCTGAAGAATAAAATTTTAAAATAAAATTAATGGCAGTTCTCACAAAATTAACCCTACCGTTACAATTTTTCTTTTTAAATGACGAAAATACTTGCCGCAGAAAACACCACCGCATGGGTGCAAAAAATGAAGTAATTTTCGGTCGCATTTACCGTTCCGCCACCAGCTGTTCGACAGAATCCCAATCAAACCCTAAATTCTCTTCTTCCATTTCCATTGCCTCTATTTTCAAATCCTTCAAAAGAAAACTAGTCGTAGGTAGCTTTCACTCCACACCAAGCTTCAAATCCTACGTAGAGACCTGCGCCTCCCTTATTCGGCGATGCTCATGCACCCATCGCTTACTTTCCGGCCTTGCCCTCCATGGCCATGCCGTCAAGTGCGGCATCTCCTCGGACCGTTCAGTGTTCACCAAGCTTCTCACCATGTACTCCGAATGCAACCGCCCGGCTGATCAGAATCGTATATTCATCGAATTTGCCGGTTCTGATATCTTTTCATGGAACTTCATGATCACTGATTTGGCCCGGAGTGGCGATATTGATGCTGCATCTAACCTATTTGATCAAATGCCTGAAACAAATGTGGTTTCTTGGACTATAATAATTGATGAACTCATGAAAAGAGGGAGGGTTCGTGACGCCTTGGGGTATTTTGATAGGTGCCCGTGTCATACAGTTGTGTCATACACAGCAATGATTAATGGATTTTCTCGAAATGGAATGTATTTGGATGGTTTATTAATGTTCCGTCGGATGATTAGATATGGTTTGATGCCAAATGAGATAACTTTCACTTGTATCATTACTGCTTGTGGCGGTTGTGGTGAATTTGATTTTGCCAATGGTGTTGTGGGGATGATTATTAAGAATGCGTTTGGTCAGAATTTATCAGTTTGCAATTCTTTGATTACGTTGTATCTCAGAATGGGGGATGCTGGAATGGCGAGGAAAATGTTTAATGGAATGGTGGAGAGGGATGTTGTGTCATGGACTGCCTTGATTGATGTATATTTTCAGATGGGTGATTTGAAGGAAGCTCGCCATGTTTTTAACGAAATGCCTGATCGAAATGAGGTCTCTTGGAGTATGATGATAGCAAGGTATAGCCAGAGTGGTGAGGCTGTCGAGGCGTTACGGTTATTTAAGCACATGCTTTGTAAAGGCTTTAAACCAAATATCTCATCCTTTGCTAGTGTGATCAGTGCATCAGCTAGTCTTGAAAACTTGTTACATGGTAGGAGTGTCCATTCTCATGTTGTGAAGTTTGGATGTGAGAATGATATCTTTGTTGCTAGTTCTCTTATAGACATGTACTCCAAGTGTGGAAAATCAGATGATGCTCGTCAGATCTTTGACTCTCTTGCTATGAAGAATATAGTGTGCTGGAATGCCATGGTTAGCGGTTATTTCTATGATGGAAGAATGATGGAAGCCAAGCATCTATTTATGCAACTTCCTGAAAGAAATGCTGCCTCATGGAATGCAATGATCTCTGGGTTTGTTCAGAATGAGTTATATGAAGATGTGTTGGAGACCTTTAATGAGATGCTGACTTCAGGGCAGGTACCAAGCAGGATGACCTTCTCTAGTGTTCTACTTGCTTGTGCAAGTTTGCCATCTTTGGAAAAAGGAAAGAACCTTCATGCCAAGACTGTTAAGTTAGGGATAGCAACTGAGATTTTTGTTGGTACTGCACTTACTGATATGTATGCCAAATCTGGAGACATTGAGAGCTCTAAGAGTGTATTTTGTATGATGCCAGAGAAGAATGAGGTGTCCTGGACTGCTATGATCCAAGGGCTAGCAGACAGTGGATTGGCTGAAGAGTCACTGGCTTTATTTGAGGACATGAAAAAAACTGACATAAATCCAAGTGAACCAATGTTCCTTTCAATTCTTTTTGCTTGTTCACATTGCCGGTTAGTTGATAAAGGGTTTCATTATTTTGAATCAATGGACAAAGTGTATGGCATCACACCTAAGGAGAGGCATTACACTGCCATGGTGGATTTACTTTCTCGAGCTGGGCTGCTGAGAGAGGCTGAGGATTTTATTAGGAAGATGCCTATCCAGCCTGAAGCTAACACATGGGCAGCTCTTTTAAGTGGTTGTGTTACTCATGGTAATGATGGAATTGGTGAGAGAGCTGCCAAGATGGTGATAGAGTTAGAGAGGCAAAGCACTGCAGGCCATGTTCTTCTTTCAAACATATATGCTTCTGTTGGGAGATGGAAGGATGTGGCTAAGGTTAGAACACTTATGAGGGAGACAGGAATCAAGAAAGGTGGAGGCTGTAGTTGGATTCAGATAAGAGACTGTTTCCATTCATTCTATTCTTGGGACTCAAACCACCCTAATGCTTTAGAGATTTATGAGGTTCTAGAACTTTTGATACCTGAAATGATACCTTGTATGCTGTAGGTAAACTTCATGAAAAAATAATTATATTCCGAAATTTCAGGAACATCGTGTGACTTGATTTTTTAGACCTTCGAAGATCAAATAACTCGGTTTCTCTAGTTTGTTTAGAGCCTCAAGTGCTGTGAATTAGCATAATTTTGACCTGCTGGGGGACAATGCAGAATAATTAAAACTTGAGTTTGTAATATAGGAGTTGGCCAAATTTTTGTGGAAGAAGATAAATAAGGATTTCAAGTGTTGAAATTGTATCCGAGTTTCCTTTTGGAGTTTCTATTTTAATCTTTCTCTAGATTCTTGAAGGAGGTTTGAGGTTTCACATAAACAGAAGCTGTCATTTCCCTTACCCGAAACACTGAACCTTGGTCAGAAGAAAGAAAACAAAAAAGCCTGAAGTTTTGGCTATTTGTAATTTTTTTCAGAAAAAAAGTGTGTGCTAGAGCACTTTATTCAGCAAAATCATAACCCATTACATTCATGCAAAACTACCAGATAGTTGAGTTTGAAGCCATGAAGCCTAACTGCACCTTCTTAATGTTCAAAAATCTCAAGCATGGACCAAACAAAGTTGATGCCACCTTCTTTTATTGACAAAATTCAAAAGGGAAGCAAGTTATCAGGTAATTCTACCAATTGATATGGAATTTCTTTTGCCAATCTTTACCTTTACCCTTTCTTAACAAAGATAGATGTGTGGTTTGGTGAAGGGACTTAACTGCCTATCATTCTTTTGCAAGCATTTAATGCTTGAGGGCTTGAGAGGAGCGAGGGCCTTTCCATAAGAATTCCAGCACAAAGCCTGCCTGTGATCACTCTCAACCGAAGCTGGGGAAAGTTGGATATCAATTAGGTTGACACCAGTGCATGGAACATTATCACTGCAAGCAAGCCTCATTGGTTGATATGTGTAATTTCCTACAACTCCCTCGTATAAGATATCTGAGATGGCTACTGCATCAGTTTTATTCTTGCATGATTTCTTGTGACAGTAGTATTGATCAATCACAATTGGTATTTGAACATCAGAGACTTGAATTTTGGAGAATGTTACATTCTTGACTGACCCAAATCCTCCCTGTGATAGGTAACTAGGAAGTTAGCTTAAGAGCTAAATTAATGGCTACCTTAACAAAGTTTGGGTGATAAAATTACCTGCCAAGTTTTGATCCTGACTCCAGATAGTGCATTTTGAATATTGATACTATTAGCATAGACATTAGAGACGCAAGCCAAGCTGTTACCCTTCCCCAAACCTCCTATGCTGACAAAAATTTCATACTTTTTAGTCTTAACTCAATCCCTTTGAGTTGAGCGACTCCAAGAAGAGATTTCAAGGTTTCACCTGATTCCATGGCTTGGACTGCATTCTAGGTGGTGTAAGTGAATATTTGAGCACCCCGTCTGAATGGAAACACAATCATCGCCTGAAAAGTTAAAAAAAAAAAAAAGCTATAAAAAACATCATTAATGTGAAAATAAATTTGTCATCGAATCATTCGAGTTTGTTGAAGAGGAGTTTTTGTACCACATCCAATGTTGGAGTTCTTTATCTCTACATCTGTAGTGTTCTGTAGGTGAATACCATCAGTGTTCGGGCTAGCTTGTGGTGTGGAGATCGTGATATTCATCACCTTAACCCTCCTTGAGTCGTCAAATTTAAGGTGACAAAGTGGGCTGTTGATGATTTGAATGTCACGAACCACTACATCACAGCTCTGGTAGAATCTCAAAATCTTGATTTAAACAGAAAATATTATGAGTGGATATTTGATATAAAGTCTAGTTAAATATTGGGAGCAGATTTTGATAGATCATAATGAGAAAGGACTACTTACAGTTGGTCTCATATTTGAAATTGAATGATCAGTTCCTTTCTGCAGTCGATTTTTACATATTTCAAAATCAGTCTAAATTATCCATAGGAAAAATTTATTGATCTTCAGAGAGTCACTGACCATAGTTTTTTCAGAGTGACTCCACCATGAAGAGCCTTGCCCATTTAGAGATCCACTTCCTTGGATTGTAAAACTGCTTAGCCATTTTAAGTTCAGCCATTGGTGGCGAGCAGATATTGACCAAGCAGTGCTTGTAGGTGCCAAGAGGGTTCCATCTATCTGGCAATTTACAAAGTAACTAAGTTAACCTTCGAAGTTTTGATTTAAAGCTTTCTTCTCCCACTTTTCTTACTAGTGAGCCACAATAATAAACAAGAAAGTTAGAATTTTTCCTGGTCAAAATATCATGAATGAGGATACTGTGAACCTTGAGAACCAAGTCAGACTTGCAAGGGCCTTGAAGAGTAACTGGTTTTATTAGAAAATTGAACATTGCTGGGATCTCTATGGTTGCCTCGGGGACTATACAAGCTGCCTTCCATGCTGCTAGAAGTGCCTGTAAACATTAAAAACCAACTTTATAGATATAGGTGAGGTTAAGTATTAATCAGATTTAACTGGAAAGAAAAAGCAGACAATATGAGAATGCAGAAAAGATTCAAGTAATTTCAACATTTTTTTTCTAAAAACTAAACACTATGAAGGGTACTAGGACAGTGCCAAAGCCTGCATTAAAAAAAAAAAAGAAAGAACAAGTTCTGTATATGATTTCAATTTTTTGAAAAGTGTAGTTATGATAAGCAAATGAAAGTACATCTTTTGCAAAGGCCTTAAAGCTTCTCTTCTTTATCTAAATGTTGTAATAACCAGCGTTTATAATTTTATAATGTCTGAAGTACAGAATTCTTCTCTTTAAATGATGATAAAGACCTTGGAATCATCTAAGACTCCACCTCCTTTAGCTCCAAAATCCAAAATGCTGAAAATTATCCCATGTGGCTTGAAGAAGCCATGATAGGGAGCTGGAGAAGGACCAGAACTGTTTTGACTTCCAGCTAACCACCCTTGACTACTAGAAATTACCAACCAAAGAACAACTAATAGAAGGAAATCGCAACTTCTAGTTTTCATCATGGCTATATCTACTATATCAACTTCTGGTCTTTCCAATATTCTCCTAACACTGCACTCTGTAGCTTGTCACTTGAACCTCTCTTCCTGAGGTGGTGGTCCGAGTGGCTTTTATATGGTAACAATCTTCTTACAACACCTCTGTAATATGGTTTGAATACTTTTTTAATATGATCCTTGTACTCTAAAATTGTTTGTTATTCAATTTGTAATTTTGATCTTACCTGTGAAACAGTATGGCATTTAAAAGAGTGGAAGGTGGCATTCAAGCACTAATACAATGGTCTGCATGTGATGTAATTGCCTTAAGCCATATGATATTATGACCCCTAGCTCCAGGAAATTATTGGGTTCGAACACCGGACGCCGTCCAGAGCCCAATGAAAATGCGCCACATCACCCCCTACTTGGTACTGAGCGGTACCAATCAGTACTGAGCTCGGTACTGCTCATTTCCGAGCTCAGTATTGTTCGGTACCGAGCTCAATACTGCTCACTACCAAACTCGGTACTGCACAGTACCGAGCTCGGTATTGCTCGGTACTGGATAACGTGGTTGCACCTGATTGATCTCCAAACAGTAAACTATGTCCGGTGTCCGAACCCAATAAGTTCCCCGTAGCTCCTTGTATGATGGTGTTTATATGAGTACAAGCAAGTTTCGCTTTGTACTATGATATTGGAACGTTGGAGGAGGGAGAGGGAGAGAGAGAGAGAGAGAGAGTGAGTGACATATTAGACTGTTGCTTTATGGTGGTGAGGAACATGTATTAAATAAATTGAAGCATGCGGGGAACGGAGCTTAATCTGCATTTATTAGACTATTGCTTTATGTAAATGGGCATAATTTGCAAAGCTGCTTTGTTCTCATGATGCACATGGGACGGTCCTGTACTTATCTTGTCATGAAATTTATTTATAAATAATATTATCAAGTAAGGATGTCTCATGCTTTAACCTTATTGGAGTCACTCTCACCTCAAAATCAACTAGAAAATTGCCCGAGTCAAAAGATGGGCTGCCAAGCTTGTCTCTTTAAGCTTGTTTTGGGATGTAAAGAGATGTAATTTCCAGGTTGTCTTTTCCTTTACTTAGAGCTAAACTAACAGCCAAAATGCTACAAGTGAAGTAGGGGTGTCGATTTGGGTCGACGAGTAGGATTCGGGTCGAACCCGACTTGATCCGGGCGTAAATGGGTTAACCCGAATCCTACCCATTTAGATAAACGGGTCAAGAAATTAAACTCGGACCCGACCCGCACAGGTTGCCAGGTTGAACCGATCTGACTCACAAACCCCTTTGACTAGGCGGCAAGACGGCAAGCAAGGCGGTGCTGGAGACGCTGCAGCCTGCACGGAGGCTGGCGGGGAACAGAAGTGCAGACTCGACGGGACGTTGATGGCAGCAGGTGCGGAATGTGGACCGCGGAGTCGCCGTTTGCGGACTAGGCGTCGTAGGTGAGTTTGCGAGTAGCGGACGTCGGGCGTGTTGACAGCTTGATGCGGATCGCGGACGGCTGGCCAGGCGACATTTTTCATCTGGTGACTCTGGTAGTCCGGTCCAATTCCTCTGATGCAGAGCCACAGAGGCTTTAACAAAGTGAGGTCCAATCCCTCGGGCCCGGGGCCTTGATTCCAGAATCCGAATTCCCTTTCTAAGTTCCCGTCCCACGCTGGAAAATTAAAAATGGGAAGACTGCAGAGGCATGGAGCCGGATTACCAGGTCAATTTTGGGTTATCGAGTTGACCCGACCGAACTCTTTTATTAAATGGGTCGAAAATTGAGACCCGAACCCGACCCGTTTGTTAAACGGGTCAAACCTTACCTGGATATTTCGAGTCGGGTTCAAATCCAGTTGTCGAGTCGTGTCAATTATTGACACCCTAAGTGAAGAAGGCTTTTGGTGGGGTTTTTACCTTGGAGAAAGCTCTCATATCCAACTACAAGGTTGATAGTGTCTTGATCGATTAAAGATGAAAACGTTAGTTAATTTCGTTTTAAAACATATTTTTTCATAAGATGAATCTTTATATTTGCAGGTTGTCATTGACTAGGTGGCCTCTATATTTTTTGGGGGAGAAAGCTAGGAGCTAGAAGGCTTCATCAATCTTCTCATTTCTTGGGGGAGGATGACTCTATGTTACTTTTATGATTGACTTTATCATAAGTGATTTCTTAGCTTCATATAATATCATTTTTATCCACCGAGGCTTAGGGTGGTTGGTGGGCGAGCACGGTTGAGAACCCCTATTTCGGGTTCGAATCCCCTCTACTACGGCCTCGCCTCTTCAGTGGGGCAAAGCAAGTGTAGGTTGATACCGGTGGGTGGCCTCGCTAGATTTCGCTGAGGAATTAGTTACGCTGTCAAGCGCTCTCTTTGAAGTGGCAGCAAGTAGATACCTCCGTTTTCAAATAATAATAATAATAATAATAATAATATCATTTATGGTCGGCCGCATATGAACTCATACAAAGTTGTATTGACATTTCATATCTGTCATGAAGTTTCTAACAAGATGTGAAGGCATTACTTTTCCTGGGACATTTGTTGTCATCTTATATTTGCTACCTCAAGATTGTATGTCTTAGTAAGAAGTTTTTCATCTTAAGAGTGAGAGGGAAGCTTCCTTGAAGCTACTAAAGTTGCTAAAGATGTCTCCATCTCTAGAGAAAATGCCTCGGTGATGAAATATTTTAGAACTGAATATCGATAATGGGCATTACTATTTAATTAGAACAAAGTGATGAGTCCAAAGTGCGAAAGCTACTTGATATCAACTTCATCTGAGAGTCTAGAACCTTGACTAGATCTCTAATATAATTAATAAAGGTTATATTTAGAGAGTCACAACCTTGAAGTGATGATCTACTCGTAAGATAGTTCATCCGGTTGGAAAAATTTGCACCAAGATATAAGAAATTGTGGTAGCGTAGCATTTAAATTCCCGAGAACTTGGCACTAGGGGTGTAAGTGAGCCGAGCCGGCTCGAGCTTATTCAGTAAACGAGCTCAAGTTTGAGCTTGATGAGGCTCGGCTCATGAGCTCGCGAGCCAACTCGAATAAATTTTGGGTTAAATTTAAAAAATTATTATCTTTATTAATTCGAACGGTGCATGATCAAAGGATTCGATATCGGCCGTCCATTCAAACCACTCCCAATTCACCCTTGATCTCACGCCTATTTACGGGCTATGCCACTCCAGAAAAACTATAAATAGAGCCCTCATTCTACACCAAGGGGACTCAAGTGAAGAGAGAGAAGAAGAAGAGAAGAAGGAGAGGAGAAAGGGGAAAAGGAGATTCCTCACCTCCTCGACCACCGCCGGAGCTCTTCTTGCCGCCTGAAGACGCCGGAACTCTGCCGGATTTTTGGGAAACGCCGGGAATTTGCAGAACTTTGTAACTTTGTGAGAAGTTGATTGTAAATTGATCGTCTTGATTTGTAAGAAGGATCAACCTTTGTACTTCAAACAAATACTAGTGGAACTTTGCAACTGGGCGAGGCCCCGTGGTTTTTTCCCTCTTTTGGGTTTTCCATGTAAAAACCTTGGTGTTCACATTCTCTTTTCTGTTTGTGTGCGGAATACTCGTGCAATGCTAAGACGAATATTTCCTAACTCTACTGCCGCATATATTCTAGCACGCAACAATATTAATATTTAAATTAAATATATTTTAATGGTTAAATGACTACTACCTTTGCTGCTCATTGAGGTCATAAAGTTTATTTCAACTTATTTGGGGCTAAGTTAATAGCCTCACAGACCTGTGTTACCTAGTAGCAATCGAGGTTAATTTAGTTGGTTAGAAATTAAGAGTGGATTAATCTTAATTAATTACTAATTTTAAGATTTAAATTAGTTTATGATTTTAATCAACAGATTCGAGGAGATGTGCCACCAAACTCGAGGAACTAAGCCTCCTTAGGACACATAGCCCCGCAGACCGAAGTAGTCCATCCTAAAAACCTTATTGATATAGTTGAATTAAGGATTTTAATTTGGTTAAATAATTAAAATTAATTTAATTCTGATTTTTAACACTCCAGTGAATTCATTCGTGGCGTTGTACCACCAAGTTCGAGGAACCAAGCCTTCTAAGGACACGTAACCCCTACAATGGGGGCCAGAAGTAGTCCATCCAATAAACTTTATCTCTAGAGTGATTATTATGTATTATAATGTTGTTTAAATGATTTTATTTATTAAATTAGAATTATTAGAAATTTTAATGAATTACTGAATTTTTAGAATTATTGGGATTATTTTAATGTGTTAATTAAGGTGTTAAAAGTTGACTTTCTAAATTAAAGTTAATTTTGAGAATTTGTAATTTTTAATAAATATTAGATCATATGATAAATAATTAGATCTTTAATTTGCTTATTTTAGAGTTTTCTATGATTAATTATGCTTTTTTAAAGTTTAAGTATTTTTTTAAGAAAGTTGCCTTAATAAATGGGATTTTAATGATTTTTATCCAAACCAGCCCCAAACCTCTTGGAATCTACTCCAAAGGTTAGAAATAACCTAAGGAGATGTTTCTAAGCATTTATGAATTTTTTGGAGTTTTTAAATATTTTTAATTTAATTATTTGAATTAATTATTTATTTTTATTAAAAGTCAAATTAGAGGTTTGGTGATGGGTATTTTATTATTCCTAGGTAAAGGACTGAATTATGGTCAGTTTAACATATTAATTGTATTTTTTTGGATTTAAATTGGATTTATTGCAATTTTTTGAATTTTTTGGGTCCTTAAAAGGGCTGAATTTTGACATTGTTAATTTTCTGACCTAATGATCACCAAATTCAATGAAATTTAAACCTATAAGGAAAAATTTCACTAAGTTTACTGTGGCCAAGCTTCACCCCTATTGGGTGTGTGTAGAATTCCCTATGTTTTTTCTAAGTTATCTAGACATGATCTTTAAATGTTTTCTCTAGGTGTCACTACTATCCAATTAGGCTTGAAATTTTGTTCAACAAATCCTAGTACATATGCAATCACACAACATCAATCATGCATCCTAATTCTAAAGATCTAGGAAGCTATAAATTTTCAAAGTTTATGGTCTAAAATGGACATATTACTTTAAAAATCACATCATAGCAATCTATTTGGTATCTGACCTTAAAAAAAATCAAAGAACATATCTAAGATACCC